GAGCTTCAGGTTAAACAGACGATGACCACACAGGCGGCATTCTGAGGAGCGATCCGGAGCCGAGTGCTGGCATGAAGAGTCCTCCTAGCAAGGAAAGGCCGGCTGTGGCCGCGTGTATGACTCTGCTATACACTCGGTATTTGGCACGATTTTCGGTAGCATAAGCATGACGTTCGTGAAAGTTTCCCAAATGACGGGTCGGTAACACCGCAGCCATGGTTCTCGGCAAAATTGTTTGCGCCCAGCCTGTAGGGCAGGGCCACTGACAAATAGATGCCAGCCTGTGTTGCTTGTTGACTGACTCTCTCTTGATGGTAGTGACACGGACGATCGACCTCCTTGGCATCCTCCCCTTACGTCCGAAAAACACCACTGAATGAGAGACTGGAACAGGCTTTGCCCTCTTGCATCTCTCGAGAGGGCTGTCGTGGGCGGCTGCTTCCCCTTCTGACAGGCTCGGCGAAAAAAGCTGGCACAATAGATAGGTTCAACCAGGAGAGACGACGATATTGAGCCTCGATGCCAGTCTTCCCCCTCGATCTCACCCACATTCCGGACCACTGGCCAGCTTGTAGCCAATCATGACGCGGTTCAGCGACAGATCAGACACAGACAGCGGCAGTCGACGCTGGAGTGCACGGGAACAGGCGGGACCCTTGCCCGGCGGCCTGGTTTGAAACCCGCTCTTCAATGCTGAGACGCAAAGACCCCTGTAATGGTGCAGGAGAGTGTCACAGCGTTCAGGGCCGGCTGCTTCATGCTCTTGGTTCCTTCATTCCTCGCAAGCAACATCGCTGGACGCTGCTGCAGACCATTTTTGTTCGTGACGGACGGCTCGTGGCACGGCAAGTAGGGCAGCCCTTCTCAGGAGGTGGCCAAACGCCGACATCCCGGCACATCTGCCTCGGAACGGCCAGCGGTTTGCCTTGGGGCTCCTTGTCTTCGAAACCCCCAGCGCGACGCATCGACGCTGTCGAGCTTCTCCCCCGGCAGCGATCTCGTCGCTTACCTCGGCCAGGGCCGACCTGGAAAGGTGAACCTCGTGACAATTCGTCGTTTACCAGCGACACTCCCTCTCAGCGGTCGCTGTTGAAGCGAGTCAGCTGTGGCACTCAATATCGATCCCTCACTGTACTGCAGACGAGTTGGGGTCTTCAATTAACAGATTGGGCCAAGCTAGCTACATGCAATCGAAGCCATTGATGGCATTGGCCCCACGAGCCAAAGCTCTCTCCCTTCTGAGCAATTCGCGTGCCAGAGAACGTTGCTGTTCCACAGCCATGTGCTTGAGCATGCCACAGAATCCACAGAAACTGATGGGAGGGGTGGGCAGCGAGCGACCTAGACGGGGACCTCGACAAACCATCGGCGGATCCGCGTCCGAAGAAGATGAAGCCCAGACGTCAAGCTGCAACCCCTTCGCTCGTGCGGTCCAACCCCTGGGAGCCTAAGTCGCGGACCATGCGCCCTGCACCACGACTCGCACCCGTTCTGGCGACAATGGTACCTGACTTCTTGGGTCAGTGCCCCCGAACTCCTCGCTGTGTGGACGCATCCCTGAAGCACCACGACTTCGTGCAACAATGCTCTAGATCGCTCGACCAGTAGTTGGCTTCCCCGCGCGTGTGATGGTGCACACGGGCCCGCGATGTTGATCTGATACAAACTGACGTTGCCCTCCCACCGCACCCCCGTCTACTACTGCTGTCTTGCTCTTCTTCCGCTTCCTCCCTTCTCCCTTCTCCCTCCTTTTCCCTATCCACCAAACTCCACTGGGTGTCTGTCTTTTCTATTGTTTGTCCGTTTTTCTTCACTCACAAGGCCGGCCTTCGTTGTACTCAATTTGTTTTCTTCATTGAGACGCCCTTGATTGGGACTCATCGACTCCTATTTACCATACGCCTTTTCCTGGTCTACATTTTTGCTTCTGCCTTTCCTTCTCAGTCGTCATCGGGTACCTCGAACAAGACGACCAACCCCGGACACAACTTCAACTCGACTTGACCGATACCCGTGGTCATGTCCTGTGCCAACCGGTAGCACCAACGAATCACCATCTGCATCTTGAAGGCTACGGGAGGCCCGTAGAGCATGATCGAGGGAAAGGAAATGGCACCATTCATTGCAGCGAGCGGGCAGAGGCCCGGTTGGAAGAGAGGATCGCCCCCTAGCAACATTCGTGTGCCCGCTAGGAGGATACGGCAGCGAGTCGACGTGGCCGATGGCGGCGGCAACTCTTCTGGCGACGAGGCCGGTCCTGTACGCAACAAGAACCGCCGCCAGGCGCCCGCCACCAAGACAAGGGACGTCATCTCCACCCGCGACGACGACCTTCCCACCCCGGTACCCGATATTGGCTTGACCAACGACGCCGTTGCAGACGGCTCGGACAGCGACAGCGGGCCCGACAGCCCAACATCGCCAACGTCACCAATCAACTCGCCTGTTGCTTCTGCACCTCCGCCTGCCGCAGCCCAGCCGCCCGTCACTCTCACCCCCATTAAGCCCCCCGGCCCGAGGCCATCCCTACCACCACCCGTGAACCCGTCCCCACCTCCGCCAGCGGCCCCACCGTCTCCCACCACGACGCCGCCCGTTGCTCTCCCTCCAGCGGCGCCTCCGGCAGCGCCACCGGCAGTACTGCCCGATTTTAGCAGCCAACCCGTTCCGCGGCCCAATCTGCCCATCAACGATCAAGCGCCCGAGCAACCCATTGCCGCACCCATTGAGGCTCCCACAACTCCACCCATCACCATAACAGCGCCTCCCGAGATTAGGACAATCACGGCTGCACCGCCCGCGGGGACTGTGACAGCCTCGCTCTCGACTTCCAGCTTTGTGAGTAGTTTGCTACCGCTCTCGAGACTCCAGTCTGACAAACAGCTTCAGTCTTCCACATCCTCCCTGTCAATCACAACCCAGCCGCCAGCCTTGCCAGTGTTCGATCCTACTGCACCGCGAAAGGAATTGGAGCCGCCCTCGCCAACAACGAGCAAATCCCGAGATGATTCCACCACAAGCTCCACCAGCAGCAGTAACCTCATCACTGGCACCGCTCTGCCTGTCGAGGACAATGACAGCGCCAGCGGCCGAGGCCGGATGGACCCCAACACCGAACATGCCCTGATTGCTGTCGGGTCCATTGGTGAGTGACGTGCATGCCACCCAGGTGAAACATGACAGCTGACCGCGACTAGGTTCCTTCATATTTGCAAGCTTTATCATCTGGATTGTTTGGAGGACTGTCAGGCGGACTCGCAAGAAGAGGAGAGAGCGCGAAAGCCAGTTCCCTAACCTCGGCCAGGGACCACCCCCACCCATCCATAAATCTGGCATTGGCATCAGGTTTGCGGCTAAGGTTCCATTCCTGCGTAACATTGCAGCAGCCCGCGGATGGCACAATCTCGATGACGGCGCCGGGCAGCCCCCTCCGTATGAGAAGGGCGGCCGCGGCTCGCTGCGTCTGGACACGGACGTCTATGCCGGTCAGCCTAAGTTCCAACAGCCGAGCAGCGCGACGTACAGTCTACCGCAGACCAGCGCCAACGGAACGCCTATAACTGTCAGCCCCACGAGCATGGCTCTGCAGCGCAATGACACACTTCGCGCTCAGCAGGGCACCTACCAGTCTGGCAACGGAACGATCGACTCCATCATGGCGAGGTACGGCAACGGTGGCGACATGAGCTCGACGCTTCAGTCAGTTGGTGGCGGTCTGTACTACGTCGAATCGGAGATGGAGATTGCCCGTCAGCAAACAAATGGCTATGGGCGACCAGCCAACCGTGCCAGCGCGATTTCGTCTCTTTCGTCTGGCTTCGGCGATGGCGACATTATTGTGCCTGGGCCTGCAGCCGCCGCCTCCCGCTTCGCAGGCTTTGCGATCTACCCAGAACGTCGTGGGGGCGCTACTCTTGGGTCAGCAAGAGCGAGAGCAGCAACCGTGAGACGATCTACACGGAAACAAGCGAGGACCTGCCCCGCGGTTCCGTACTGTCAACAGCTGGGTGAACCAGCAGACGGGCCGCGTCAAGCGGGCCCAGGGTCGCAGCGACGATGAGGAGGACGTACCACCCGTTCCCGGACTGCCAGCTGCGCTGGGCAAGAACATCATGCCACCCGAACAACAGTTCAATATGATGATGCCTGACGGAGAGGAGCCCAGGCGCCCCGACGACTACCAGCTGCGATGAGCTGGGCCATCGTGTTTTGGGCCGGAGCCTGCTGCCCGTTGACACACTTCTTTTTGTTCTTTTTTCTTCTTCTTACACACACACACACACACACACAAACACACACTGCGAGTACATTGGACCTCACACGGGGAAGAGAGGAGAACCTAATTACCAGACCTGACATGATACCACTTTGGATGCCAGGACAAAGACGGATGCACTGGAACGCTGTGCCGAGACGCGTGGACGTCTAGACTTTTCCGTTCAAAGCCTGGGGCTTGGACAGATCCTGATGTCGTCCACGTCGATCGGCCAGACCGCCGTGTCCACCAGCATATACATCATACAAATAGCATAGCATGGCGCGAGGGGAGGATAGCAATGTGTATACGGTCGAGAGATAGCAGCAGACAGATAACAAGAAAAGTACATGACACACTGCTCCAACTCGATTGCACTGTGATGCACGTGACATGTTGGCAAGCTGAAGCTCTGCCTGAAAGATAGCGGCCCCAGGTGAACAAGACACTGCACAGCAATCGCGTTTCTGCTTGTGCAGATGCACATGCGTGCCGCGGCAGGGCAGTGAAGTCACTGGCCAGTTAGGCCAACCCTGGCTCTGACGGCTGGCTAGCTTTTCTTTGAGACTGAGAGTCCCAGTGTTTTTTTTTTGAGTAAGGAAGCCCCACTGTGAGACGCGGCCACGATGCGGCTCGAGGCTGACGGCTGCACCGCCTCTCCAAGGTTAGTGAACAGGGCCCAATCAGAGAAGGGCGGGATGCCCTGCTGCGGCTTGGCGCCCACCCAAGCCTCGTAATGACGACGCACTATGCATCCCAAGCCGCGTGGGTTGGTGGGCTGCACCTGGATACACCATTTGACAACAGGACTGCAGTTGATAGCCTGACCACTTCCATTTTATGTTTCTATTCATTCATTTCTTCATACCTCACCGTGCTTCCATATCATATCTTACTATATAACTAGGCCACGACTGGGATACTGGCGGAAGTCCGTGGTCAGCTGCCTCGAAACCGATAGGAGCCGACACCAGGCTGCAGCAAACACCAGACCTGCTGATCAACGTCATCCGACGAGAACCTCGAACCGACAACCTAGACTTGAATTAAGCTGACATTGTGCAAATCGCCAAGTCTTCTCTTCGCCATGCTCGACGAAAACTTGCCGAGTTTCCGCTTCCAACCCTCCTCCGATTCGCCTCTCAACACAGTGCTTTACTTCTCCCACAATGGCTCCGATCCAAGTGCGCAGTATCTCCTGATGCGCGCCGACCCGGCAGTCCCTATGTCCAAGAACAAATACGCTGTCGCCCTCGCCGACGTCTCCTCTCAGTCCATCATCTACGCCGAGGTCCTCGTCGAGCCGTCGTGGTCGCAGCCAACACTCTCGACGGCCGAGATTCGCGCACAAAATGGCCAGCCGCCCCCACCGACACCGATCACCCCAGACACGATCACGCTGAACCTCTACAACCCAGACTCACAGGTCGTGATTCGCTCGAAGCCGGGGTCTTGGGGCAAATCGGATAGCTGGGAGTTTGAGCTTCCTGAGCAGTCGTTCCGCGCGCCCAGTGCCAGCAAGATCGACCTCGACGCTGGCGAGCCTCCCATCAGCGACCTTGTGCCCAAGGCCGTCTTTCGTTGGAAAAAAGAGTCGAGGCTCGGCAGGGAGATGACGTGCTATCTGGTGGGCAAGAGCGTCGGCGGCAAGAAGAGCAAGGAGCCTGATATCACGGTGGCCATGTTCAAGGAGGGACGTCACGACAGCACCGTCACCATTTACGAACCGAATCTGCGTCGTGTCGATGTACAGGATCAGAAGGGACTCGACATCGTGTTGCTCCTCGGGGCCGAGGTCATTCGTGACCTGTATCTCAACCCAAAGATGGATCCCTTCAACGTTTCTGGTGCGCCACCCTTGGCATCTTCCGGACGGCGAAAGGACTCTCGCGGGGCGTCGGCATCTCCCGGTACCGCGGCACCAATGTCTGGGGCCCTTAGTGCCCCTCCGCCGCAGCCCGCCTCCTACCAGGCGCAGTCCAACGTGGCGCCATCACGCGACGCTCGCCAGCAAGACATTGACGCTGAGACGAAGCGACTTCAGGCCATGGTGGCTGAGGAGGAACGACAAGCTCGCGAACGGGAACGCCAGACGCGCGAACAGGAGCGCTGCGATGCTGAGGAGGCGCGACGCATCAAAGACATGCTTAATCGGGAAGAGGAAGAGCGACGCCGGAAGCAGGCCGAGGTGGACCGCGAAACAGAGCGCCTACGGAAGCAGTACGGCGTCAACGCGCAGGGGTTTGCAGCCACCAGCAGCCTGCCGCCCGAGGCTCACGCACCGCATCTGCCGCCGCGGCCGGGGCCCTGGTGGGCCACACTCTCACGGTGCTGGCAGGGGAGGGGGCAGCCCAGGACTGTCGCCATACTTTTCGAGCAGCGCACACGGCCACGCGCAGCCCCCGCCAAGACCCTCGAGCGCCGGCCCGCAGACCCCCGCCATGTCGGGGGCAGCAGCGGATGGTGGAAGCCTGGGCCGTCGACGCCCGGAGGAGACACTGCGGCTACGAGCTCAGGAGGTGCGGGTAGAGGAGGCAAGAAACCGGCCAACCCGCTGCACGGTTTACTCAACGGGCACGGGCCGTACGGGAACGCCGCGGCGAGCGTCAGCAATTTCTTCCACGGCGCGGCATCGAAGCATGAGAGCAAGCTGTCGAAGAAGCGCAGCATGTGAGAGATGGGCGCGAACTGTTTTTTGGGGTTGGGATGGACATTTGGGCAGCGTTTTGGCTTACCACATGCATACATGGCTCAGCGTTTGATTCGGCAGTTGCACACCCTACGTTCATGAATAACGAATTCTATTGGAATGACCCGGGTCTTTGTTGACTACCTAACGTCGGTTGTATCGGCAACGTGATCGTATACGTACGGTTGGGCCTTGGTCAGAGGCCTCTCCTATTGCGAGGTTTGTCTTATTGATGGAACTGTGCCATGACGAAGCCAAAACACACAAGTCAGGCCCCTACGCATTGCTGGAACCCCCCACCTAACGTGTCGTGTCGAGCGAGCCCCGAGCTTTAGCCCCAACTCATCCAGCGGGGAGTGGGCTCTGACAGTGATGGGAAGGGGCCCACTGGCACAGCCACTGTGTCGCAGGCATGATCGATCACGTGGGGGCTGGCGTGCTCGCTGGGAGATGAATCCGGCCTACATGGTAAGTGACTGCCCGGAGACTGTCCGGGGCACATGGACATAAGAAATCCGTGGCATTTCAACGACTTGGTGAGAGGGCCCAGCGAGATGAACCTATGTACCTTCCCCTGCCAGGTACCTGGGTACCGTGCCACTGGTGGTCAGGCAGGCAGGGAGCTAGTAAGGCAGGTGTGTGTGCCTGCCGCCAGTGTCGACCTCAATAAGTTTAGGTAGTATAAATTCAATAGGAAGGTTCGAACAGCGCCTTGGAACACGTCGGTTTTTTTTTAGCTTGGGGCCCCTTTGCCAATGCTTAATCCCTAGGCCTCTCGCATTAACTTAGTGTTCAATCAAGAACATCATCATTGGGGATCGCCCAGACATGAATCTTCATTTCCTCCCAAAACACCTTATCCCCATCACCCCTCCCTCTTCTCCTCGCCTCTCTTTCTCTTTTCTTTCTTCTTCTTTTTTTTTTTTTTCCTCTCCCTTTTGTCAACCCCCCTCCCCCTCTCCCAGCATCGCGTCATTGACCCGTACAATCACCGTTCATGATCCACGGAACCCGTTCAAAGATACCGCGCGATATTGCACTACGCAATTGAATGACGCTACTACCGACTACCCGTTACGGTACCTACGTATCTTTACGCGAGCCTGTCGGACCGAGGAGAGCACCTCGCTGCCTGGGTGCCTTGGGGTGGGTGGGCTTATGAGGCTGCATCAAGGAGCTAGTTGCGCCCCATGGCAGATTATCCTCGATAGCATCAGCTCCTTGTCATTATCTCACTTCCCACCTCGAAGCCGCGCCGATTCTAGCTTGTTTATCGCCGCCTGACGCTGGTACATCGAACAAATCCCACAGTGGCAGCTCCACCTTTCCACCCGCCCACTGGAGCGAGTCCCTCACACGCCATATCCTCCCCACCCAGAGACCCTATTGCGCGCGAGGTCATCAGCCGCGTTCTTGAATCAGGCCTATATTCTACGCCTTCGTCACTTACCTCAGCTGACGACAAGAAGAAGAAGAAGAAGAAGAAGAACGACAAACCTGACAACACCTTTTACCTGCCGAGGCCGGTGCTACAGCACCAAATTCTGCCAGCTACGCATCGTTCCGAAAACAATTGCATTACGGCTGGCTGTAAACTCGTAACCCGCCCAGACCAAGACGGTAATGCAAAGTCCGGTAACCTGACGCCTTCACGCTTCACCCTATCCGTGTCAGCCGAGAATAGCGTTGTCAATGCTATCCTATCGCACGCCGCTCTTCCACCTCCCACCAACACCTCCCTGACTAGGGATTACCTACATGTCTTCTCCTGCGCCATAACACCCCGACCACCAATTTGTCTTTTTCACCCCTTCTCCCCGTCCTTTGCGCCTAGACGATCGGCTGACGCTTCCCGACGTCTCAACCCCATCGCCCACCAGAGGCCTCGCAGAGCGCGCTGACTTCGGACTGCCATCGTGCCCGCCACGTCGGCCTCATCCTAGCCCGGCCATTTCTTCACCCGACCGGCTGGGTCAACCCGCCCACCCACTCGCACCCCTACCAGCAGCGCAACTCCGGTGGTGGCGTTTCGGCCAACATCTGCTTCCGGATCCCACCCAAAACCCTCCGGAACTCTCAATTGCATTACCAATTCACCTGCATCCTACCTCACACCCTTTGAACCCTCGCCAACCATGGCCGCGGCAGCAGATGATGCACCCCCCAGCATGGAGGTTGAGGGTCGTTATTGGGAGTCTTTCAATGGCGCCATTGCGGAGGAAGACCAACGCCTGCTTGATCGGTTCATCGAAGAGACCAAGGACCTTCGCAATGAATTGGCGAGCATGCAGCGCGACAAGGCGCGGGCCGAAGAAAATCTCCGCCAGATCAATCTCGCCTACCAGAACTATGAGGAACGGCTTGAGACAAGGCGTCGTGAGTTTGAGCTCCAACAGAGAGCCCTGGCGGCTGAACGCGCAGTCCGACGGGCCAAGATGACTGCATGGTTTGGCTCGCGCGGCACCTCATCACATCCCAAACCACCCAGCGAGGAGCACGTCGATGTGGCCCATGGCGACATCCCCAATGGTATCGTCGTCAGCACCCGGCGCATCAAGGACGGCAGGACCAGCCTACCTGACGGACCCCAAGCCGCCGCCGCCAACGGGGCCGCCCCCAGATACCACCATACGTTTGCCGCAGCCAACAATGTGGGCACCACCAACGACATCGGCCAGCTCGATGATCTCACGGGCGTCGAGGTTTTTGATGGTGACGGGAATTTTGTCGCGCCCGTGAGGAGCATCCCGGCACAGAACGCAGTGGTGTCGCTGCTGTTGGGACTGCCAGTCAAGCGTCGCGTCAACACGCGCCCTGGCCGCACCTTTGATCTGGACAAGTTCAACTCAATCTACGACAAGCGGTACACGTATGCCAACGGCCCCAATGCGAAGCCAGCGAGGTGGACCGCCGTCATGCTGCAGGCTACAGGCGACGTGCTCGAGGGCGCGAAACGCTGCCTTAACTGTACCAAGAATCTAGGCCCCTTCGATACGTGCATCATTCCACGAGGGCCCAATTTTCGTAAGTGCGGCAACTGCGAGTGGTCCAAACAGCCGTGCCAGATGCCTGCGGAAGAGGCCGTGAGCGACGAAGACGACGACGAAGCTCGTTCGACGCCAAAGACGGGCGTCCAAGAGGATATGGCCCAGTACGCCGCGGCCGCACCCCAGGACGACCTTGATGATTCGCGGGATGACAGCCCTGCCCCTAACGCGCTGCGGAAGCGACCAAAGGGCATCGCGACTATTCAGCAGCAGCAGCAGCATCATCATCAAAACGTGTACCACTGGCAAGGCGACAAGACACCCAAGCAGACTTCTCCCGAGGATGACTCGACCGAGGAAGACATGGAACCCATCACAGCCAGCAATCTCGTGCTGCGTCACAACGGCGTCACGTACACCCACCCTGAATGTATGCAAGGCGTTCCTCTCGTGAAGATCGACCCGAGCCATCCGTACTGGGAACCCGACTGGGAGCCTGATCTCGAGAATGCGGCTATCCAGCCCGCCCTGGAGTCGTGGCGTGTCAAGCACGAAGCTGCGCTCAAGGGAAACACGAGCAGCAAGTTTCAGGTCGGACGTCAAGTCAACCGTGGCGAGACGATACTTAAGTTCTTGAGGCAAGCCGACATCAGCCCTTACCAACTGCTGAGCAAAAAGTATGTCAACTCGCGCCTGGTCGGCTACGATACGCTGTTCCGACTCGCCGATACCTATTTCGTTCTCGAAAGTTTTGGCACAATGGACATCACGCCTCTGGAATGGATCCGGCACCGGCTGCATGAAGTCATTCAAGAGGAGGGCCCGCACTTCAAGCTCTACGCCAAAGTACACAATTTCTACCATGACCGCAAACTAGAGGCCCTTCGACTCGCAAACGGAAAGAGGAGCATCGGCCGCCCTTCTGGTATGAAGATGTCGGGAAAGAAGAGGAGAGCTTGAATGATACGCTCATCAAGGCTGTCGTACCTCGGCGGGCGGCCCTATTTCGGTAGGGCCCCTGCCCGGTTATGATGTAGTTGCGCAAGTATCAGCGGCGGCGATGCATCATGCGCAGAATCTCAGCGCCGAGTCCGAGCAGGAACGGCCGTATAAACGAAAACGAAAACCTCTCGTCAATAGTCGCAACGGCACGCCTTTGAATGGCGAGGACGAGGGTGAGGGCGAGGGCGACTACGACTTGCAGTATGACGGATACACCGATACGGACGACTACAGTGGTGATCAGATTAGCAACCACGATTTCTGCTTGAGCTCCGTCAAATCGCGCATCAACACAACGAGCACGTCTGTCACGCAGTATTGGCATTGGGTCGATATCGAGGGCGGCACAGACGATGTTTTTGAGCACCAGGTTTTATCTGACTGCAATCCGCCGTCGTGGGGGTTGTACTCTAACCCGGTCAACTTTCACTTCACGCCGCAAGACGTTGTGGACATTCAATGGGCGGCCGACACGCGCAAAGTAGTTGTACGTTGCCGGCCTGGCGTCGAAAAGGACGAGCAGACCGGCCAAGAACGCGGTGACATGATTGCCGATTTTGCCCGCGAGCGCACCAAGCGGCGCTTCCTTGTGTTTTGTGAGAAAAGGGGAATCAAAATCGTCAAGACGACGAGGTTCGTGCCTCCTTCTCCTGTCATTCCTGTGCTCTTTCACTAACCAGACTGTTTGCTAGTGACGCGATCGAACAGGCGTGGGAGACTACCAAGTCGCCCTTTGTTGATCCCGTCGAGGCTTCTGAGTTGGAGATGGTCTGAGAACGCCGTACCTCACCGCTTGACTTGGACCGGGCAGCTATCTCAGATTTAGGGAGGAATATTTATACTTGTTTCTGGTGGAGGAGATACCCGAGGCGCGCAATCGATGGAGGACAACTTGCTTGCGACCGGCGTTGCCATGGGCGTGATTTACTTGGCGTTAATGGTTCATCTCAAGAGATAAAGTTCTTTTCACAGCATCTGTTCATTTTGCGCTGGACTCAAGTCAAGCAGCAGGGACACGGCGTCAACATGGTTATACGAGCCTGGCTCGAGAATGTATGATTAGGGCAGATTGCATGATAGTGACAGCAGGCAAGCAAGCCAACTAAGAACATGTACAGCGACGCGTATGCATTGGCCCAAGTTCCTATGTCTCTTGGCGCATCGGAAGAACGAGGCATGCCGGGGCGAACATCACCGCGCACCATCGCTTGGGGCAAATGCGCCGCGGCATCATTGCCAATGGACCCCCCAGCTGACGTGCGGCGCAGCAATAGGTTTGCCTTCCCGACCAATGCGGACGAGGCCCAATTGACAACGTACTTACTACCTAGGTTGTCGGTCGCTCAGTCTACTTGACGCGGCTGGTGAGATTTGTCATTGAAAGGTCTCCAACACAATGGACACGCTCAGGATTCAATGCGACCGCCTTGAGGAGGCTCTCGAATCCACTGCAACGAGCGTGGAAGAGTTCTCAAGTACGCACACGACATCACATGCCGACCTGGAGCCGCTCGTGACTGAGCTCTCTGAACTACGACGGTCCACCGCAGCTCTCCGCAACAAGGCCGCTTCTTTTGATGACGGCGCCACGCCCATCCCAGATGATGTGTTCCGTGGCATCAAGATGGTGCCGGCCAACTGCGTCGATTATGTCCTTGCTGTGCGGCAGACGCTCGAGGACCCGACCCGCCAGCGACACGACTGGCAAGGCATCGTGCCAATGGACGTTGATCGACTGGTGAGGCCGCTCGAGACCGGTAGGCGGGCCTTGGACGTGGCCGTGGCCGGGCTGGACATGGCGACGGGCGTCAACATGGCCGAGCAGACGGGTGACTCGCCGCCGTACGCAACGACGTCGATTGTGCCCGAAATCCTCTACATCAAGGTCCGCCTTGCCGAGGACCGCGACCGCAACGCCAATACAGTGCAGACTGTGGTGCTGACCGAGTTCCTCGAGGCACTGCAGCGCTTCGCCTCGCAGCATTCGGGCAATCTCGTGCCACCGCCGATCGAGCAGCGCCGCAACAGCAACGTGGCTTCATCCGACGCGGCCTCGCTCCCCGGTGGCAGCGGCAGCGGCAACGGCAACGGAGGTGGTCCGGACTCTTTCCAGGCCCCGGACGACTCTACTCGTGCGCCTTCACCTGGCCTCGACGGTCTGGGCGCCGGCGACCTCGGCCGCCCGACGCCAGCCTACTCGGCCATCAGACTACCCCCGGCACCGCAACGTATGGACCTCCGCCACGTCTCGCGCCTGCCGACCCTCGAGTCCGAGATCCTCGGGATCGCCTTTGACGCCACGGCCCGCGTGCCCCGCGTGGCCGTGACAACGTACCACCATCGCGTGCGCTTCTTCCACATGAAGGTGCCCGAGGGACGGGAACAGATGGCCGGCCGCTTCAACCTCAACGGCACGTCCATGTGTCTCTCGCCCGTGGGACCCTTGATGGCCGTGGTGCAAGAGCACATGGACAACCTGTCAACGTCGGCGTACGAGCGCCTGGAGCTGTCCAGACGGCAGGCGGGCTCACGGGAAACGCTGCATGACGGCCGCACGTTCCTGGACCCTGAGGTCGTCGTCTTTGGTTATGCAAAGCAGACGTATCTCACGAAGCACCTGCGCTGGCCCGGCGCCAGACCCTTTGCCTTCTCGCCGAGCGGGGCGTGGCTTGCCGTTAGGGGCGTCTTGGGGCGCGTCGAGGTCTGGGACGTCGCCGGCGGAGGCAAGGGGGTCGGTGTCGTACGGAGCCACACTGCGGATGTGTTCGAGGCGCGGTTCACGGCCGGAGGCGACGGTCTCGTGACCATGAGCAGGGACGGGACGCTGCGGGTGACGAGCACCACTACGTGGCAGGGGACAGCCAAGCTCGAGGTGGATGAGTGGAAGAACCCAGTGTTTCTCGCCGTGTCAGTAGCCGGCTCCGTAGTCGCTTCGGTCTGGGGTCGAAAAGTGTACTTGTGGGACCCGGACACGGGGGCCCTCGACAATTGGTCTCTTGATGGGCCTGGGGGCGAGGGATGGCCATTGGCGGCGAGTCCCGACCTGAGGTTCTTGTGCTGCCGGACAGAGAATGGTGCTGATGTCAGGGACATGGCGACGGGGAGGGTGTTGTGCAGGATGGGCTTCGGGCAGGGCTTTGCGAGCTCGGCGGCGTTCAGCTTGGATAGCAAATATCTGACGGTTGGCCGGGCCCTTGGCGGACATCATGTGAGAGAGGCCGTGGGCAGGGTAGACTTTTGGGAAATCATCGAGTAGACACCTTTGATACGTCAAAAGCTGACGGAAAGAAGAAAGCATGATTCGCATTGAGCATTACGACCGTGTCGGATGGTCAGTCTATCGGACATTGGAGGATCCATGCTTCTGCCTCTTTCTCGTCCAGAGCTCCGGAAACATGAATCAGAACCCAACACCCGCCAGGCTTGCGTTTCTTCCATGTACGATCAGCCAGATTATGCGACCTTGACGGATGTCAGAGTGAAGGCAGCTTCATGCGCACGTTCCAAAGCCAGCCTGGCATCCTGTCCCACAATGATCTCCAGTGGAGCCGCACCATCCAGCTCTCGAGCAGCACGTTGCACCAAGCGGCTCCTTCGCACAAGTGGCGCTGCCATGGCTCGGGCCACAACGACCATTCGTGGACGGAGGGCGAGCTGTAGTTGTTGGCGCGGGCGGCGTGGTGGTAGTCGTCGCCGCGCTTGGGCTCGAGGCTGAACACGTTCCGAAGCCGACCTGGCATCCCGAACCGCAGTGCGCTGTTGAGCTACCACACCAGCCGGCCGATGAGCAGCATGTAGCCCCAGGCTCGCGAGCGCAAGTTTGCCGGCCCTGGTTCACCCCACAGCGGCCATTTGTCGTGGCAGGGAGGGTTCCCGTGGGCTGTGCAACCGAGGTTGTGCGTGTCGTGGACGGCGGGTTCGGGGTGCCGACGGTGCGATACCAGTTGGCTTTGGGGTCACCGAGACACTCTCCGACAGTGACAGCGCGGAAACCGTTGCGCTGGAGCGAGGCAAGCATGTAGTCCGTCAGGTTATAGACGCTCTGCTGCACGGGGTCGTGCTCAATGTGAAGAAACTTTGCGGTGGCGGGGTTGGCGTCCTCCACAGCAGCGTCCCAGATGTCTTTGGAACCTTGTATAGCTGATG